GTGTAAGGGTTTGGGGTTTAGGGTTTAGGGTGTAAGGGGTTTAGGGTTTAGGGATTTAGGGTTTAGGGTTTAGGGTTTAGGGTGTAAGGGTTTAGGGTTTAAGGGTTCAGGGTGTAAGGGTTTAGGGTTTAGGGTTTAGGGTTTAGGGTGTAAGGGGTTTAGGGTTTAGGGGTTCAGGGTTTAGGGGTTTCAGGGTTTCGGGTTTAGGGTGTAAGGGTTTAGGGTTTAGGGTTTGCAAGACCAGCTCTCCACCTTCTGCGGCCTTGACCCTGCAGTGCAGAGCATGTGCCCTTGCAAGGACTATGGTGAAGCTTTCGAGGAAGGCGACATCATCGGCCTGCTGCTCACAAACCCGGGGGCAGGGACATCGGGCAAGGCATGCCTATTTTAGGGGGGAGGCTATTTGACTACTTGCTCGCATTGAAATGGGTGATGGACGTGCAGAAAACATCGGCAGGGGTGGGTTTTCAGCACATCGGGCAAGGCATGCCTATTTTAGGGGGGAGGCTATTTGACTACTTGCTCGCATTGAAATGGGTGATGGACGTGCAGAAAACATCGGCAGGGGTGGGTTTTCAGCACATCGGGCAAGGCATGCCTATTTTAGGGGGGAGGCTATTTGACTACTTGCTCGCATTGAAATGGGTGATGGACGTGCAGAAAACATCGGCAGGGGTGGGTTTTCAGCACATCGGGCAACGCATGCCTATTTTAGGGGGGAGGCTATTTGACTACTTGCTCGCATTGAAATGGGTGATGGACGTGCAGAAAACATCGGCAGGGGTGGGTTTTCAGCACATCGGGCAACGCATCCCTATTTTAGGGGGAGGCTATTTGACTGCTTGCTCGCATTGAAATGGGTGATGGACGTGCAGAAAACATCGGCAGGGGTGGGTTTTCAGCACATCGGGCAAGGCATGCCTATTTTAGGGGGGAGGCTATTTGACTACTTGCTCGCATTGAAATGGGTGATGGACGTGCAGAAAACATCGGCAAGGGTGGGTTTTCAGCACATCGGGCAAGGCATGCCTATTTTAGGGGGGAGGCTATTTGACTACTTGCTCGCATTGAAATGGGTGATGGACGTGCAGAAAACATCGGCAGGGGTGGGTTTTCAGCACATCGGGCAACCCATGCCTATTTTAGGGGGGAGGCTATTTGACTGCTTGCTCGCGTTGAAATGGGTGATGGACGTGCAGAAAACATCGGCAGGGGTGGGTTTTCAGCACATCGGGCAACGCATCCCTATTTTAGGGGGAGGCTATTTGACTGCTTGCTCGCATTGAAATGGGTGATGGACGTGCAGAAAACATCGGCAGGGGTGGGTTTTCAGCACATCGGGCAAGCATGCCTATTTTAGGGGGGAGGCTATTTGACTACTTGCTCGCATTGAAATGGGTGATGGACGTGCAGAAAACATCGGCAGGCTATTTGACTACTTGCTCGCGTTGAAATGGGCCGGTGATGGACGTGCAGAAAACATCGGCAGGGGTGGGTTTTCAGCACATCGGGCAATTTTTTCCGACAGTATATAGATGGCATGCTCGCATCAAGGGCCATACTAAGGAACGTGTCCTAGCCGTAGACTGCAAGTCCCCCCTTTTCGGCCCTTTCATTGTGGTGTCCAAGGCAGAGAGCCAACATCGAAGGCGACAGTGGCGCAGAGGGAAAAAAGGTTGCAGCCAGCAATTCAAAGGGCTTCCTGGTCAGCGCCAAAGTCGGACCCCCAAATCATGGGATCTCGCAAGCAGTCCTCATAGACCCGCTGCACAGCGCCAGTGTTCCCCTACCGCCCTTTCAGAAGGTGGTCCAGCAGTGAGGTCCACCCAGCCCTGCAGCCTTCCGTTGAGGGAAATCCATTCGCCCGAACGGAAGATAGGATTTAGGTTAGGGAGTGTACTTGACAGTAATCCCTTCCTGTAACAGTGAATCCGCACCACTCACTCATAGTCCACATGGCCTCATATTCCATATTCATTCCTTCAAGACAACATTCAAAATCAAAGGGGTTGTGAAACCTATCGTTCTTGGCTACTTTATTGAATGTGAGATTTCTGCAATCTTGCACGCTCAGACAGATTGCATCATTTCTCGGCAGGGAATTTGACTGGTTGATGGTACGAGGAAGGCGGACATCTTTCACATCACTAGTCCAGAACCTTAACTGCCTTGTTACACTGCAGCTGGTATTGAATAGAGATTGAGATTTTCATTAGCCATGCGCCAGAAGCATTATCCCTGTATCCCGTTTTGACACAATACACAACGCACTTGGTTGCACCTGTGCAGTATCCACGCGGACTTGCGGCATGGATCCGCGGCCTTTCACCATGACGTCATCGTTAGCCTTGGCATGGCTTGGCTTGACAGTTGCGACTGCCACCTGGTGTTACCCAAGAAAGGGTGGGTGTCAAGGACAGTTGCGCAATATCGTTGAAGAAGAGTTTGAACGTCCTTGGCTTGATGGGGTCAGAGAGCCTTATGCGTACGTCCATTCTCAGCTGACAGATTGGGATGGGGATGGCGATCTTGACGTCATCGCTTCATATCGCCCAAGGAACGAGCAGACGAACTCCTGGTTTTTTGTGGTCTTCGAACGGTTGTCCGATGGCCAGTATGAGAGGCGTGAGATGCCGGTTGCGGCCGGTGATGCCTGGATGCCTCCCGATGAATCCGATTACATGCTCACATTTGCCGCTGGAGACTGGGATGCAGACGGCGATACGGATCTACTTGTCTGCTCATACTTGGGTGGAGGCCTTCATCTTGTGCTGCTTGAACACGGCCAGGCAACGTTGCTGCCAAGGATGCTTCTGTCAAACCTCACTTCTTCACGGAAAAAGTTTAGCTGCGAGTATCTGCAGGCCGTGGATTTCGATGCAGACGGTGACTTAGACCTCATTCTGAACGGCATCAGGTATTTCGAAAGGATCTCAAGTTCAGATGACGAGCTCGTAGAGCGTTTGGATGAGGACAACCCACTACTTTCCGGTGCAGGTCTGAGTAGCGAATCCGTTGAATCCGGCTTAGAGGTTGTCTGGGTTGGGGATGTCGATGGAGATGGAGATTTGGACCTCCTAGTTCGCCTGCTGACAGAAAAGTACACGTATGCAGCCAAATATCGCCTTGCTTATTTTCAGCGAGTTGCAGACGGCAGCTTTGTTCAACCCAGACTAAATCCACTCGCCGGCATAAAGATGATATGTGCCGAGGAGGGCTGCGACAAACTCCAGATAGAAGACTGGGACACAGATGGCCTTCCGGATGTAATCGTTCTTACGTACGTGCGTACGACTTTACGGGTGTACCGGCAGTCGATGCAGGAATCCTTGGTCGTAAACCAACTATTCAATCCCTTTTCCAAAGTGTTGCTGGATGGCGCCGAACCACACCTGTTTGACTGGAAGCGCGATGGTCAGGCACTGGGCTGCTGCTGAGGAACTTGTTTTTAGTTATCACAATACGGATGAATCGTAAAAAAGTGTGGCTCGTTCGTAATGTTAGTTTTACGTCAGCTCAGTTTCTTATAGTCAACACAGCGATGGTCAGGTAGACATGCTTCTCGCAGCGAACGATTGTAATGGGATGTCTTCCAACTGCAAGCAATCTGCCCAAAGATCTTTGCAGATGTATGAGATGCACGACGGTCGCGCAAGACTTGTAAAGGGAGTGTTTGAAAACGTGACTGCCACTCAGCTGGGCCCCTACAGGGTTTTGCTGACTGACTGGGACATGGATGGCGATGAAGACATACTCATAGCAGCTGCAGATGGAAGGTTGCATTATCACGAGATGGTGGAAGGGTCATGGTATGCAGAGAAAGCCATACACCCATTTTCTCACATCAACGTTAACAAAAGCAAGGAACCAATTCTTCTGCTGGATTGGGATAATTCTGCGTTTCAACGATATGCTGATGTAGGAGTCATCTCTCAACCTCTTGCCGTAGACTGGGACAACGATGGCGACATGGATCTTGTGCTTGGTCCGAGCGGGCGATTTTTCGAGCAGAGAGACCCTGGTGTCTTGGTGGAATGGCCTTCGGAGACAAGCCCTTTCAGCAACTTGTCTGCTGCAGATCGCATGTGGAGGTGGGCACTTCCGGAGCCTCAAGACGAGGCCGACAGAGTGTGGAGGTTCATCGATTGCGACAACGATGCCCAGTTGTGTTTAGGTTAGTTAGTTCTCTGGACATTTTATACGTAGGTACTCTCGCTGCAGCTTTGTTACAGTCTTTCCCTCATGTGTGACTCTTCCTGAGTTAGCTTAGGACGGAGATGCTGACTTGGTGAGGCTTAAGGAAGACTGGACTCCCAAGCTGGAGGTTTGTGAGCACCGAAGTGATCAGACGCTTCTTTGCAACGACACGTTGCCATGTGCAGGGTTCAGTTTGGTTGCAGAAGAGATTGCACAAATGTATTCCCTGGACCTATGGGACATGGATGGTTCAGGTGACGTTGACATACTCGCATCTTACATGCAGTCCGACAATCCTGTGCGCTGGACACGGGCATTTTGCTACCCCAATGATGTTTGTAATGGCAGGGGCCAGTGCCTCTCGGGGCCTGAGTGTGAGTGCATTCGCGGGCATGAGCTTCATGATTGCTCTGGCTGTGAGCCAGGTTATTATACCCGATGGGAGGGTGCGGGGACCCTGCACAGCTGTGAAAGATGCCCGCTGTCAGATGGCAAGATGTGCAAGGGTCGAGGCAGCTGCTTGGATGATGCCGCGGCCAAAAAAGTCGCCGAGTCCAGTACGCTTTCCATTCTTAGGCGTGGCAACGGAAGCTGCGCTTGCGCCGAAGAGCACTTCTATGGCACGGACAGCAGTGGCCGATCGACATGCACTGCTGGCTGGTGCCCAGACGGATCGGAAGAGTATGAAGGTAGATGCCGGCCATGCCTACCTGGTTTCGCCTCATCTGGTGGGACCTCTTGCGCAAAGTGCCCAGTGGGCAGGTTCTCAGGCGGAGCCAGCAGCCAGTGCTCTGAGTGCCCGGAGATTCGGCTGCATTATGTGACAATTACTGCATTGTTAGAGATTTCTTGCCTGCAACTCATCAGGAGCAGGTGCTTCTTCCAACTTGCTGAGTTCTGATGAACTAAGGCAGGAGAGGTCTCATCGGAGCCTGGCGCTTCAGCGTGTGCGACTTGCTCAGCTGGCACGGTTGCAACTTACGGCCAGTTTTGCTCCAGCTGCCCGGTTGGGTTGATCTCACAACGAGGAAGCACGCAGTGCGAGACGTGTGAGGCAAGGCAGTATAATCCTTCCGGCCCAAATGCTAGTGATGGCGATCATCCCAATATTCACCCTCAGCCCCTCCCATTTTTGCTCATGGCCTCTTGCATTTTCCACATACACCCTGCGGATCAGTTACATACCCTCTAACCCTAAGCTCCAAATGTCCCAAAGAAGGTACAGCTTTTTGACTTCAGTGCCCCCACGTGGTAGTTCTTATAGACTCAGAACCCTAAACCGAACACTGAAACTGAGACCCTAAACCGCAAACCCAAAATTGTAGTTTCCATTCTCTTTCCCGGTATCCCAACATTTCCCCAACATATACCAAATGGTGAAGGGATCCTGGTACCTGTCCGCTCAAGGCTTGGGTTTGTATTGGGATAGTGTTGGGATAACGGAAAGAACATGGAAACTACTATAATAGGGAATATATCAGGGATATAATAGGGTATGTTAGGGATTATAGGGTATGTATTGGGTTAGCTGTATCCATGTTCTTGATGTCAAGATATGCATTGGGACGCTATTCCGTTCAATGCATGGAAAGTCCCACGTTGACAACAGAAACCCTGCATGACTGTTTCATACCGAGCTCAAGCAGAAGTATCAACAGTACTTTTCCTGGGGTTCCCTAAGCCCTTAACCCTTCTGAAGCAGGCAGGTACTCATGCTGCGGACCCAGGCAGCAGTGTTTGCCTTCAGTGCCCAGCAGGCGGCTTCAGGGTTCTATTGGGAAAATGTTGGGATTCTATTGGGATACGGGAAAAGACCCTTATAATGGGGTATGCTAGAGATTATAGGGTATATGATGGGGAGATATTGGGATAACGGAAAAGAAAATGGAAACTACTATTCGGGGTTCCGGGTTTAGGATTTTCGTGTTAAGGTATAGGGTGAAGAGTTCAGGGCACTTTTGTTGTTTTCTGCTCAGGCAGGAGGTGGGAGAGTTTTCAAGGCTTCCTGCAAGATCTACTAGTTTCTACCAGTTTAGGGTTAGGATTACAATCAACATTTTTGTGCCGCGGCGTAGAACTTTGAATGCTGAGGGGCTCATCTCAATCCCATCAGAATGCTCCTCCTTGGGATGGGATAAATTAAAACCTACACGCCCACATGAGGAATAGTCTAAACTCCTCAAAGGGAGCTTATATAGCGATTCTATAGGGGACTACGATACGGGATGCTAGGAGTTTAGACTGTGGCTCACATTGCTGGCAAATTCGAAGCCAATTTAGTACCAACAAAAGAGGACAACTGTCCTGTAGTTGAAACTGATACCAACACAGATTGAATTCTGTTGAAGATTCATGGTGGCTTACAAAGTTTCTACAGTTTGAAAGTAGCTGAGCAATCAGAGTAGGGAGACTCTACAAGCCTAAACCCTAAAACCTAAACCAGGTAGATTTGCAGTCTCTGGCGCCGCACAATGTCGCGAATGCCCATCCGGCGCTTTCTCCAACGTGCAACCTACCTGTGTACATGGGTCGTTCCAAAACATTCGGGTACTTGGGGGAAAGAAAGTTTTCTAGCACAGGCGAGGTAAGAGGTACCCCTGATTTTGGGAAGCTACCAAATGGGATGATAGCATGGTACAGCTTAATTGCATGGGTGAAACTAGATTAGGGTGTAGGGTTTAGGGTTTAGAGTTTAGAGAGTTGAGAGTTTGGGAATTTCACACGGCTGGTTCCATCAACGCTAGCCTCTTTGGACCCCTATAAACGCCTGACTTTCAGAGGGTTCCATGGAGTTTAGCAATGTCATAAAGAGAGTCTGCAGAATTTGCGGCTTGCTTCTTGGACTTGCAGTCTTTCCAGAGGGAACTTGCAACACGCGCTTTGATGTTTATTGGCGCTGGACGGGGGCAATGCTGTAAACCAGCTGTGGTACTTAAAAATGGTGGAGGTCAGGCTTAACATAGGGTTGTCTTAGGTACATGTAGAGTTGTAGTGTGTCACTGGGCCAGCATTTGTTGTTCGTGTTTACTTGTTTGTTGGTCATGGTTTCAGCGGTTTCTTATTCTTTTGCTCCATGGCCAATTATAGTTGTTGCTGCCGGTCGTCGATTCTAATACAGGGCTACAGCACCCACGTTCTGCTCACCGCGTACCTTCTCCCCCAAGATAAGGTCAAGTCAGAGCTGCACATCTTGTGGTGCCGGGCGTTTCGCTCAACTACCTGGAAGTCAGTTCTGCAGCGTTTGCACATCTGGAACCTGCGTTGTGTTCTTTCAGATACACTTTTTTTTGTTTGCTTCGCTGCTTTCTCCTCCCTTTTCTGCTTACAAGACAGGGCCAAGTTCTTTTCCTGGGGTTCTTGTGGTTCCAAGATAGCCAAGGAAAATTTGCAGCAGAAGGAAGCCAGCGATGTCAGAATTGCCCAGCAGGGGAGGTGTCTAGTTCTGATTAATTCGGAGTTTTGTGGGTTAAGGGCCAGAAGGCGGATATGCTCAAGAAGGGCCCAGAGGGCCGAAACAGGACCATATCACGCCCTTAACTGTCCGTTACCTGTTTCGGGAAGGTCTCTGGCTTCGAAAGCGATTCATGCGAAGCCTGTGATGGGCTGTTTTTCCATATGACGACGGATGCAGGGCAGCACCACTGCCAGCTGGATCTCATGGACATAATGTTCGTGGTTGTGTCGTGCTTGAGTCTGGGTCAAGCTGTGGGATCTTTTCTACCTATCCTCCTTTGTTGCTTGTCAGTCGAAACACGAAGAACGTTTTCAGAGGGTTGAAGGCACAACTCAGGAGTTTCGTGGGCTTCTTCATCTCAATCTTGGCAGGCTGTCATGGCCGCATTCGCATTGCAGATTTGTCATCTCAGGGCAGCGACTTCGTATTGACAACATCCGGCCTGCATCGCATCCTGCCCTGGAAGTGGGCATCTCCTTGGGTCAGTTTGGCTGGCACAGGTGAGCAGCGTTCTGAAAGGCTTATGCAAGGGTCAGTAATTACAGGCACAGGAAATGGAACTGCCATGGAATAGAACAGCTCCCTATCAAGCGTCCCAGATTGTAGCACCTTAGAAATTAGAAGCATCCTGTGGCAGCAGGATCGTTAGAGACCTTTTGGAAGACAGGTGTGCCCATGGTGGATGCCAAGCGATCCACGCCTTCATTCCGAGTCCAGGCAATGGGCAACGAGCAGCTGCTGCTCATGCCCTCTAGCGCAATCAAGTGTCCGTTGGACACGTCCATGGGATACGTTCGTATCAGTTTTCCCCGAGCCTTCGTGAGTCTTGGCTTCTTCCGTTGCCCACTGCTATTGTGGTCCTTCATATTCTTCCTTGCTGGCGGTGCTTGTGTTTCTCGGCTGACACTGCCAATGGCTATCGTTGTCAGTCTATTGAGTGCGTTCTTGGGTTGTGTTTGCTATGGCATCTCATGGATGCGCGGCCAGCGCACACCCATGGTGAAGAGACATCGTCAATTTCATCACGCATGGTCTACCTCGAACCCAAAGCCCAAGCGGTGTGAGCGGGGAGCTCCTCGAGCAATCACGGCAGGGAAGCTCCGAGACTTCTTAGACTTTTTCCGGGAATTCATTCGGGAGCGGTCCATGTACTATGTCTGCTCGAACATCGTGATGCCCTTGACGAAGCCAGTTAAGCTCTCCTTCGCGGAGCTCATCGGCCCCAATGAGCTCAACTGGTTTGTTTCTCATTATTGGGGTACACCAGTCCAGCATTTCGTGGCGGCAGTGTGCAAGCACGGGTTTGCCCATGCAGGTGACGCTTGGCGAGACTCGGCCTATTGGATATGCACTTTCAGCAACAATCAGTGGGAGGTACCCTTGGAGCTTGGAAATGGTCGGTGGCAGGAGTCCTCCTTCTATTTGGCGTTGAGAAGCCCCAATTGCCTGGGTACTGCTATGATACTCGACGAAGAGGCCTTACCTTTGCAGCGCATCTGGTGCCTTTTTGAGGTCTATCAGACAATCCTCCTGTCAGCGCAGAATGCCGGGTTTGCAGGGCTCTTGCTCTGCACTTCCACAGGGGTCCTCCAGCAAGGTGGGGATTTCTGAAACACATGGGTCTGTATTCTGGAGATCTTCACTATAAGGCGTCCGTTGCATTCGGAGTATGTAGGGGGCTCCCCCCATTCTGTGTGCTTAGAGGGATGGCAATTGTCTAGCAATCATCTTGCACCTTCATTTTGAGAAAAACACCAGGCCAAGCGGGCACTGATATTGCCATGGCTGTTGCCAAGAGGTTAGCCGCGCTGGATCTCCGCAACGCGCAAGCATCGGATGAAGGAGACAGACTCAAAACAGGATTTCTTTGGGAGTTGGGGCCTTTGGCCTTCGGGCAAGCACTGGAAGACTGTGACAGACTTGGTTTCGGGGCTAAAGTTTACAGTTCCCCTAGGATTATGGCTTAGAGCTCCAGGTTTAGGGCAAGCATGGATTGAAGGAGACAGACTCATGATTCACGGCCTCATCGAAGCAATGCCCGGGGGCTTTGACGCAATGAACCAATTCGTCCGGGAGTCCATCCGCAATGCCCTGGTAACCATGCATCAGCAGTTTCTAGGAACATGTGGGAACCATTCTATGTTTCTTCAGGCCACTTTTCCACTATAATATTCAGTGATATGCTATAATATGCAATAATATACTGTAATACATTATTTTATACTGTAATGTACTAGATTAATACTATGTTATGCTTTGTTCTGAATATTTTGGGAGTGTTTCAAGCCTATCTCCGGAAGCTCCTTCGGAGGGAGCCTTATATGCGGTTTTGAGACATCCTCATCTGGGGGTTTCCCAAAATTGGGGGGTACCTTCTTGGGGGTCCTTATAAAAAGGAATATATTATTGATATTTAAAGAAACTACCATCTTGTCCCCAATGCTTCAGCCCCTAAACCCTAAACCCTGAGTCCAGGTTTGAGCACGACTTCAGCAGCTTGGTGCAGGAGCTGACTGCGAGCCACAGTGCTTCAGCCAGTTCGAGCGTTTCTGTGGAAGTGACGGCGTTGCCGACCCTGCTCCTCGGTGAACTGTAGTCTAGGTCTAGACTCCTTAAGGGGGGGGTTACACAGGGATATCAGGGGATTATGTAGGGGTCCATTGTAGGGCTTATTCTTATTCAGGGGATGCTAGGAGTTCAGACCACAGCTCAGGTGAACTTCTTAGGTAGGATGAGACAGATTCCCGGCTGGTAGGAACTGACTCTTCATCCTTCTGAAGTCTTGTTTGTTCCCTTAAATGGCTTGTATGCAGCAGATCTACAAATCCCCAGGCCCCCTTAATCCATAAAACCACGGGCAAATTTATTCTGAGCGGTCTGTATAGTTGGTGTCGTTCTACTTTGACACAGAGCCAGATTGAACATGACTTTCGACTGTTGCTCAGTATGGAGCAGAACCTCGAATAGCTTGGCGTGTTTGGGCAGTCCTCGACAAGGGGACCCCCCGACTCCTGTTCGAGTTCACATGGCCCTGAAAGGGCTCCCAAGTACCGGCCAGTTCCCCATGTTACCCCTCATGAGCTACAAGGGTCCTCAGTAACGGTCTCCCAAAGCCACCAGGCCGTAGCATCCTGTGCCCTCACCCAGGTTGCAAAGCCGTGCCCAAAAAGAGAGCAAAACCGACGGAGATTGACTGGCCCAGCAGGGCACTGGCAGGGGCGATGGCACGTTCAACAATTTCAGTTGCGTCTCGTCTTTCCGGCAAGAGGACGAGAGGAACAATAATAGTTTTCAATCACCGGACGTGCTTGTGTATAAATGGAGCTTGACATCTTGCAGATGATCTTCTGTGATACTCTTCCCCAAGTGCGGTTGAGAAAGTTCCAGACTTTGAATCCCAGACTTTCTTTAAAAGCTTGCTCCACCGGATGGTTTGTTTATTATGCTATGACCGTTTGCGGTGAGAGACTGGGTGATGCGTATACGGCAGGTGGTTCAAGCTTCTGCCATCCGCGATTGTAGGGCTGAGCAGAAGATCTCAGACTTTGTGCAAGTCCAATCGCAAACATTTTGAACCTCTCCCTGAATATGGAACCGTCCCCTACCTGGCATTAGAAATTCCTAGACGTCCATGTCATCGTATGAAAGAACATATTCATTTCATTGTATGTAGGAACATGTGTTATCAGGGTGGGCATCAGATTAGTACTCCAGGCACTAATGGCATCATAAGAAGGAAAGAGTGACAATGATAGCAATACCAGTGATGGTGCTACAGTACAAGAATTATGTGGACTCCGTTTGATAACTACTGTCATCGCCTGTGACTTGTCGTCGCAGTAACTGGGTGGCACCTTACCTGAGAAAGGCGGTTCAAAGCAAGGGGATTATGCCTGCCAGCTGCGCAAGTTTGATGGCAACATGCACCCATTAAGCGCCCAACATCATGGTCTTACACTCCTGGTGTAGTTATCGGGTACCTTCAATAGAGCTCACAATCAACTTAGTAAATGTTTCTGCGTCTGCACAGGCACTGAAGGGGAAGAGTCATAAAGAATTGGTTTCTGCAGCTCATCCCCAGGAAGTCCCAAGTTGGTTTGTTTTCCATGGAGACTAAGGTGCTATTTGATTGCCAAGACATCGTTCTGATGAGTTTCTGCCACTGTTTTTGCCCTTTGTGCCTGTTTCATGTGTTGAATGACGGTTCATGGTCCACACAGAAGGGGGTATTGGTTACCACAACTGCTCGAATCAGGACCGTGGACTGTGCGGTAAGTATAATGGGCTCCTGATTTCGAGGCTTGGGGTTAGCAAAATCCTACTATCAGTCTGACGTTTAATTGAGCAATGGCATCTCATGGGCATGGCCTGATGCATTCAACAGTTATGTCGTCCCGAAGAAGGTTTCACCTCAACTCAACTTCACATCATAGGCTTTTGTCAGGGTTGCGGAATCCTTTGTGGGAGAGAATGGAAACTCTACATAAGGGGTATGTAAGGATTATAAAATTAAAGATGTTCATTAGGGCCCGGCATTTGATCCGATGCGTAACCCTTTGATTGTACATTACTTTGGCTCAAGTAGAAATGTGTGAAGGCATGACGTCATTACCCTCTCCCTGAAGTCTAGACAACATAGGTGAATATGCGTTATATCAGTATATCATAGATGTATATATCTCATAATATACTCTACGCATTCATGTTCAGTCCATGCAGGTAGTGCATGTTATTCTTGGTAACTGCTGGGGAGGCCTTGGTCTAGATGATTTGTAAGGTTCTTCCTCAGAGTTCGCACATACAAGTACAGTAGATTGTAACACCCCAAAACCTGAGTCTACGTATGCAGCCGCCCATATGATACTGTTGCCTAAACTCCTTAAAGGGGTTACATAAGGGATAAGATGGGGGAGTATTTTAGGGCTGAGCAAGGCGGATATTAGGAGTTCAGACTGTAGCTCATAGATGCTGTTGCGATTTTGCGCTGTTTTGGGCATCTACGCGCCTTGCTGCAGCGGTGAAGGCCGCATCTACGGCAACAATGGGTCGCATCGAGAGGTAAACTGGAACCACTACGCGACATCTTACCCATTCCTGGTTTCCCTAGTGTTTCCCGGTCCATCTTAAGAAAATGTTACATGTTCAAGGTGGTTTTGCCCATAAAGAATGCAGACCGAGTTTTTAACATGCCAGTCACCAGTGAACCAGATTCGAAGCACCAGATGACCATCAAATCTGCAGCGGAACGTTGATCCATGAAGACTATGTGCTGACAGCAGCATCCTGCTGCATTTTTCCGGAGAATTATCACGGTGATGTATCGAGTTTGGTGTTGCGCATGTCGGTGTGGTTGCATACACCATCTGGCTGGCGCGTTGCCAGGCCACAAAATCTCTTCACACATAGGAACCTCTTTTGTCCAAGAACTAGGAGAACTTTACTCTTTTCTATGTGTCTTTTTCACGAAAGTGTGGGAATTTTGTCCACTGGTTTTAGAAAGACACAGGAACTTCAGCCGGGAGACTTATCGCGACAATATCGCCATTATTCGTTTGATGACACCTCTGGTCGGCGTTCCCGTGGCAACTTTGGAGCAAAAGCAGGGTGAACATGTGGGGGAGCAGGCACTTGTTGCTGGCTGGGGCGCGTCAGACAGCGAGTGCAAAGTGCGACCCAAACCCTCCGTCCTCAAGGAAGGTGACAAGCAGATAGCATCCTTTTTGCCTTGTTACTTACAGACACTACTGGGCCGCGGTAAGGGCCCCTTCGAGCCAAGCAGACACATCTGCACGCAAGAAGTTCAGTCTGGGTCAGCAGGTGTCGAGGGATGCATTGCGAAACCGATTCTGTTTCATGTTTTACTTGTAGTTGGCTAGTATTAACTACAACTAGTCATTGGCCGGAGATTGAATGATAGCATCAACCATTTGTTCACAGAAGAGTTGAGGCATGGGCTGTGGTGACGAAGGTGCGCCAATGCTCCTTCGAGCAAATGGCACGACTGTTCAAGTTGGACTTTATTCGCACAAGTCCGGGCTTCGAGACATATTCGTTCGTGTCTCTGCGTATGCTGACTGGATCAACAGAGTGCTGACGAAACAACACTGGTGCCAGCCTCCTTCCTGCGTGGGGTCCCGTTAATTAAGGAGTCTGGGGATGTGCGCAATGGGCAGAAGACCAAAGTGCCACCCGTGCTCACAAGAAGCACGTGCGCATGTAGCCGGCGGTCGCTTTGGAGAAATCTGAGGCTTGCAATTTGGGGATTGAGTATAACGGTTATGATTTCGAAGGGATTACAGTACATTGAATTATGGGCGATCTTATTTGTGTAAAATAGAGCGTATTAATTAGGGGTCAAACGGGTACATGTTTTTTTTCTGAAGCAGAGCGCTCTCACATACCTGACACTTTGTTGAAATCCGGATTGGGGTTCCTCCAGAGGGGATCCATGGATTTGAGAAACTCTCATATAGATCCAACTATTCCTGCTCCACTCGCTTCCATGAATGCACAAACTGCATTGCAGTGGTTGGCTCTCTAACCGACTCTAATCCCTAAACCCTAAACACTACCAAAACTGCAAGCCTTAAACCCAGTGGGAGCGTGTGTAGACAGAGACAGCAGCAAGCAACTTGACGTGCAGAATTACTTACAAGTTTAGCGGTACGTACTGTACTAGTCCACGAAGCTGCGTTCGTTGACCCGAGTACACAGTCTTCCACCATTTGTTTGGATCCTTGTTGGCAGGGGGATTCTATGGAACCTGGTCGAAGCACACCAGCTAGCAGTGGCAGAGAATGGAGCAGACGAATGCATCGTGATCGACCCATGCAGACGCAATTCGCATGTTTGCAATGACATGCACATCAGTGGACACATTGCAATGTAAAAACACATATTGCCGGGCAATTGCCAAGTCCAACCTTTATTTCAGCCTTCAGGCATAAAGACATCCATTTTGTATTGCTTGTACCGGATCGCATTTGAAACGGTTTCTAGCTTCAGAGCGCCATTAAGCTGCATCCATGGTGGTGGTGACACCGTCGCAGCCTCCTGCAACTGTGCACCCTTGATTGTCATCATGTGGTCGCTGCGCTTGTCTCCAAGCCCCCAAACACAATCACGGCTGTCGTGGGACTATAAGGTATGCGCTCCTACAGAAGGCCAAGCCATCCTGGAGCGCCAAAGATCTGCAACGAGTTTATCAAAAGTTGCAGAAGGTTGCCATCACAGCCCCTTGGCTGCGAGCAGGGTCGGCGAGCTTGCTCTGGACGGTTTAGCATTGTTGCTGCCATGATACCTCGCTCTTTTCATTCCAACAGGTTTGAGCTCTTCTTGAGCACGGGCTCTTCGACAGTAGTCCTGAAACCCTAAACCCCAAATCCTATATAGCAGCCTCTTATGGCTTGGATAGCCAGTGGGAGAACTTCAATCTTTTCTCTTATTGGGTCGATCTTGGAAAGCTTTGAGCTTTTCGTGGGCCCGGTTCTTGAAGAAGCGAGTCGTAAGTCATAGTTACTTGCACTATTTTGGGGGGCTCCTTATTAAAATTCTAGTATACTTCAACCCCAAAATCCTATTCCAACAACTAAACCGCAAACCCTAAACTCTAAACCCTGAACCCTGGACCCTACGTACTTGTCAGTCTTGTGTTCGCTTTAGCGCATGAGGACGGCGAGTCCCTGGCACGTTCCATCTCCGAAGGCTGGTACCCAAAGAAGAATTTTCGGGGTTCAGGGTTTGGGGGTTAAGGGTTTAGTGCTTGGGGGTTTAGTGTTTAGGGGTTTAGGGGTTTAGGGTTTGGGGCTTCGGGGTTTAGGGTTTAGGGTGGCCAGAGATGGGAAGTTGTGGAGTTGCGTCCAAGATGAGACCGAGGAGCATTCAATCATGTTGATATGGGATTCTGTGTATGCTCCTCATGTGCCTCGCGTCAGAGTGAGAACTGTCAACCCGAAGTGCGAAATGGGAGTTGCCGAAAATTAGGCATGCTTTATTTTGGGGTCTTCAACATAGGATCAGGGTACTATGTTAGGGTCCCCTATCCCTGAACTCCCTAAACCCTAAACTCCCTAAATCCTAAACCCGGTAGCTGACGCCAGGATCTTTAAACCCGACGCTTGCGGCGGCCGGCGAGCGGAAGCTCAAGTCATCGACCCTGGCATTTCTCAGGACACCCATCAGGGTAACTTTAAACCCTAAACCCTAAACTTCTGTCATGGGAACAGGGTTTTGGGGCTGGAGGGTTGGAGGTTTAGGGTTCGGGAGGCTTCATGACTAGAGTAGGGTTTAGTTAGAGTCAGAGGCTTCTTCAGAGGTGTCTTTTCAGGGTCTACGGTAAGGTTTTGCTGATACGATTTAATATGGCGAGGTTTGAATGTAGGGAACCTTAACTGATGGTTTAGGGGCTGGGAATTTTGAATGTATGGTTTAAGATTTTGGGGCTTTGGGTTTAGGTTGCTCGGGTTTGCGATTTAGGGGGTTAGGGTTTAGGGTTCATGCTTTCAAGAATTGGATTTTGAAATTTCTGGCGGTTAGGAGTTGAGACTTTTTTGGTGGCGTAAGTGTAGTCGGTGAGCTTCCCAAAATACTGCCATACTTGTTTTTTCAACCGGCGTGTAGTTGTAGTGTCCCCAAACCTCAAAACCTAAACTCTAAACCCTCAACCCATACCAGCCCTACCGTTGTAGTGTGCCTATACCCGGAACCCTGAGCCCTAAACCCTCAACCCATCTCAACCCTACAGAAGCCACCTGGGTGGTTGTCAAAATGATGGTCGCTTTTTGGGTCCCTAATGGAATACGGCACCTGATATTTAGGGTACCCCAAACGGGACCCTAATTTTGACAACTACCCACCCTAAACCCTAAACCCTATACCCTAAACCGGAAAAGCTGGGGGGTCTCTTGAGAGGTTGGCCGTGCGCGATCCGGTGCGGACGCCCAAGGAGCTCCGAGTTTAGAGCTATTCTTCCAGTATCTTAGGGGTTTAGGGGTAACCTAAGGAGTCCTTTGAAGGGCTACTATAAGGGTACCGTAAGGGTTCCTTCAGGCTCTTTAAGGGTTTGGGGTTTCCGAAAATTGGGGCTACCTTATTCTGGTGTCCTTATTATAATAAGGACCCTAGTATTGCGGGTACTATATTCGGGTCCCCTAGTTTTGGCAACTGCCATAGAGAAGCTCAGTAAGAGATCCAAGATCCTCAGCTAGTATGAAGGCCCCACCATGCCTTTGGAGCCAGGAAAGAGCAGGGCTCCCTGCTATTGTCTTTCCGTTGTTCTTGTGGGTGGTCTTTGTTGCCCCTCGCACCGGTAAAATGCAAGGAGAGCGTTGATGAATACACCGCGCGGCAGCAGGCTATGCAGACCCAGCTACCGCCCCTCGTCAGATTCTCCCTGTTTTGAAGACACGTTGTCGTTGCGTTGTATGTCAGCTTCAGAAAACAAAGGATCTATATCATTTTCACCGGATCTTTTCTGAAAGGGACTGCCAAGTCAGTACATAAGTCACCACTAGTTTCCTAACCCCCGATAAACAGAAGACAAGAACAGGATACGAGCGTTTTGGAGCGATCGAGACCGGATGCACCGTGTTGTGGACCCCTAGACCCCGCTTCGCTGTGAAAGGATTATAGTCGGGATCCTCACATTACGGCCCTTAAAGGGAGGGGGATTCATGAACGGGGCTTACACAGCTGGTGCAGTCGTGATGACACTGACAGCGCTTGGCATGCTGACGTCGATACTGACAGTGACAGCGGCGAGTTACGATGATGGTCGTGGGGATGCTAGCTCAGATTTTGTGGTATACGGTATACTTGTCGACAATCCTGGCATGTCTTACATCATAAACTTAGCCCTAAACCCTAAATCCGAAGCCTCAAAGCCCTGAACCCTAAGGAGCCTGACTTCGAGTCCTGGTCCTGCAATGCTGATGCCCTCCAAACGACCCTCCCTCCCAGCTGCAGCTACTTGGCCCGGTCTTTTCGGCTTCCTTTAAAGGTTTAGGGATTAGGGTTTATGGTTCAGTGGTGAGGGTTCCATTAAATTTTAAGAGTGTATGAGTTTGGGGTTTAGCGGGCTGCACCTCCTCCGCGCGGAGTTGAGGTTGTAGGGGGGTTCCTTTAAGGATTTGAGGCGTTCAGGTCTTCGTGCTTAAAGTTTTATGTGTTGATTTTTTAGTAGGGGTTTAGGGAGGCTCTAAGGCTTAGGTCTCAGGATTTCCGGTTTTGGGGGTGAGGGTTTAGGGCTTGGGGTTTGAAGAAAAAGAAAGTTTTTTTCAGGGTTTAGGGTTTCTATTTTCTGGTTTGAGTTTCTGAATTTTATGGTGTGGGGTTTCAGGTCTTGAGGGTTCAGGGTTTCAAGCTCATATGTTTAGGTTTAGGAGTGTAAGTCTGTGAGTTTCAAGCTTGTTTAGGGAGGTTTTAGGGTTCTGGGTTGCAGGTTTCGAGGTGTAGGGTTTGAGGTTTCAGGTTCTCAGGATTTAGGGTTTCAGGTTTCGGTTGGAGTTGTTTCGGGTTAAAGGTTTGGGGTTTCAGGTTTTGAGGTGTATGGTTGATAGCTTGGGGTGTCAGGGTTTGAGGGTTTTAGGGCTTAGGAGTTGGGGTTTCTGGTTTTGAGGTTTAGGGTTCAGAGCTTCAGGATTCGAGTTTAACGGTGTTTGGCCTTGGGTTTCAGCAGTTTCGGGGCTTAGGGTTGAGGTGGCTTTTGAGGTTTCAGCTTTAGAGTTTCAGGTTCTGAGGTTTTTGGGTTGGAGCTTCAGGTTTTGAGGTTTCAGGGTGCAGGTTGGGGCTTTGAGTTTCAGGTCTCAAGGTTTCAGGTTTTGACTTTTCACGGTTCAGGGCTCAGGGGATTCAAGTTGAGCATTTTTGGGTTTAGGGCTTGGGGGTTCAAGGTTTGGGTTTTTTTGGTTTAGGGCTTTGTGTTTCTGGTTTTGAGATTTTGGGGTTTATGGCGGAGGGTTTAAGGTTTTAGGCTTCAGTGTTGGGTTGGGGTTCGTGGCTTCAGGTCGTGCTCCCGCCGTTGACGCGGCCCTCTCAGCCATCGCATCGTTCCTGGAGGACTTGCAGTGGGATGTATTTCATAGGTTTCGGGTTTAACATCCGGGGTAGGGCTTTCAAGGTTTAGGGTGTAGGGGTTTAGGTCTGAGTCGGAAAGTCATCTTGTCACTCACACGAGCAGAAGACGCTGCGAACCTCGTTTTTCCATATGGCCTAATGGATTCCCTGTGGCAGAAAGTGTCCGGAACCTCGTTTTTTCATATGGCCTAATGGATTCCTTATGACCTATCCTATGGCCTAACCTATGGCCTAATGCACCTTCCCTATGACCTAATCATTTTCGCGTTGTAAGAAGAGAATGTAGTCTTTTCCCACACGGAAATGATTAGGTCATAGGGAAGGTGCATTAGGCCATAGGTTAGGCCATAGGATAGGTCATAAGGAATCCATTAGGCCATATGAAAAAACGAGGTTCCGGACACTTTCTGCCACAGGGAATCCATTAGGCCATATGGAAAAACGAGGTTCGCAGCGTCTTCTGCTCGTGTGAGTGGCAAGATGACTTTCCGACTCCGCATGTTTCCAGTAGGACAGTAGGCTTGCTGGGGAACCAGCGGTGCAGCAATTTCCCCTGTTCTCGAGTATCGAGACCGTGAAGTCTCGTGCGGCATCCTTACAAGCTCACTGTGTGCGAAAGCTTCCTCCTGATCGGTAGGGTTCACAGACGCGACGTCGTAGACTGTTGCCGAATGTACAGAGCCCTTCTACGTGACACCTCCCCCCCGCCCCCTACATTTCAATGATGTCGTCTGCTCGGAGGTGCGTGTCTGCTCCAAACATTGAGATTGGGGGAGAGGGGGATGTGCCGCGGTGCCCTTTTCGTGCGTGCCTGTGTCACAGCAGTACAACCGTTTGTGATGGTCAGGTTCCTCTCCGTTCGGAGGTCAGTGGCTTAAAATCTGGTCTTGTTTCTGCTACCCTTCCAAGGCGTAGTTTCTGGGGACACATGGTGGTTCCCCCTCTGTGAGAGTGTTTGGTTCGACGGTTGTCCACATGAATCTATGCTTCTTTGCCTTCCAGTCTTCTTAGCTTTCTTGTAGGCGCAGCAGCCGCTGTCACCGAGGCCCGCCCACGCCAAAAAAAACACACAAATCTCATGCCCTGCAACCTGATTTTTCTCCATCTTTTTTTCAGTTGTGCCTCACTCCAGCAGCTGTGACCTGGAAGCTTTTGAAGCAATTTACTTGCTGGTGACCGCTCGAGGTTCTCTTGCAGGTTTGTCCTACGGTTTCCAGAGACTCTAAATCCCCTAGTTATGCGTCAGGACCAAACTAGAAGCCCCGTGCACGTTTTTTCCGTGCTACATCTGGCCATTTGATTCATTTAGCACCCGAAACCTCCGTAAAGCAACGTTGGTGCAAAGCACGTTGTAGACGCCAGAGCAACTAGCTCTTAGAAGTTGTCCCTTCAGAATGACAGAAAAATTGATTCAAACGGTCTAGAATTATTGCTCCAAAAAACAGGTTTTTAGTTTTTGGCTTGGCCCCAACAGTGAACCCAATGGCAGTCCGCACTCTTGAAAAAAGGTGTGCACTAGCCCCTCTGTGTGCACGGGAAGCTTGATCCTGCGCCTGTTCGGAGCGATGAGGTGATTAAAGGATGCACAGTTATGGATATGTTGGTTCCACTTGGAATCTGGGTGGTGCTTTCGCTTGTTTCTGGTTTGTCGAAGCGAATTGAGCCTGCTGGAGACATGGAAGCTTCTGCAGGCCCACACAAGCGTTTGGTCAGAAGATCCGGACGTGCTCCTACTTTGAAACGGTTTCGAGAAAGGTTTTTGTCGGCTGCATTTAAAGAAGTGCGGAGTGCGGTGAGAGAATTGCTTGGAGACCATGCCGATTTTGAAGTTATCGGATGGGAATGCAGATGCGATCTGCAAGCTTTGCAGAGCAAGGCGGAAAGCCAACCGGGTTAGAAGAGACGCAGGCGGAGGCTCAGTATTGCATGCTTGTTCTTGGAAGAAAAGTTACGAGCAATGGCAGCTACAGCATGAAGACTTTGAGGCTAACTTCTTCAACAAAAATAACGAACTTGGCACAATGCTTGGAACAAGGTTTTCACTAATCGCCCGAAGCATATATTCGAGCCAGACTCGGTCTCCGAGCAGTACCCGAGCCTGATCGCACAGTTCCGATGAATGGCTGAGTTGTGAATGTCCCGATGCAACCCCACGTGCGTTGCTGGCAAGCTAGTTCTTTGGCGCATTGAAATGTTGCCTGGTTCTTCCAGTCACCTCTCACTCGGTGATTCAGGCACTTCTCTAGCTCACTTGTGGCTTGGACAGGATGGCCTTGGTGCTGTTGCACAGATGTTTCTGGTTCTGCTTCAGGGAGGCTCGGAACATGAGTTGTGGATGGTTATTAAATTTTTGTTTTTGACCCTCATTTTTTTGTGTCGCTTCCTCCTTATTGTGTGTTGGAGAAGCTTTCCATTGCGGAAAAAACATGCACTTATTTCTTGCGGCTACCGGGGGTCCTTTTGGAGAACAATCATTGTGAAAAAAGGGCTTGGAAGAATTCGGCACTTCGGTTTGCGATTCAAAGGCGACTGCTGTTTGTTTTTCGTAAAAGCCATTGTGCGTTTTGTTTTGCCGCAGAGGGTGGTTTTGGAAAGCAATCATTGTGAAGAACAATCTCGGAAGAATTCGACGCTTATCGGTTTGTTTTGGGTTCAAAGGCGACTGTTGTTTGCTTTTAGTCTTTGTAGGGAAAAGAGAACCCAGCAGATGCCACCAAGGCGTTTGACCGCTTTAATATGTTTTGCATTCTGCAGTTCCTGTTCTCTTGGCAAATATGTTGTGTAGTTTCTTTTTCTTCACTCGACCGAGTTATGAACTCTTTGATCAATTGTGGCGGATTTCGCCCTCTTGCCCACAAAAAGCAATGGCTTGCACCACCATAATCTTATTTTCGTGCCACATGTTAAGCGTAAGAGTTTAAGTTATCAAGCATCGCAAATGTCAACTTTTGGGATGCAGCAAATTGAGAAACACAAGCAACTTGGTTGTGTTTTAGCAGAGTTCTTGGGCAAACTTTGTGCAGCGAGCCAAATCCCGACCCGAACCCAAACCCAGAAGCACACATGGTTGATCTTGCACGCCTGAACAAGATTCCTGAGAATGCAAGACATTCTCTCTCTTGTATTATTCGAGCAATGCCTCGCTCAGCTGCATTCATGCAACTTCTGCGTTTAAAAAAGAAGTATCGCCGCAAAGTCTTGCTTTCCGCAACATGAGTTGCTGTCTCAGAAGCTGGTAGCTGGCATTGAGAGTGTTTTTTTTGGTAAAAATGTTTGTCAGATTTGGAGCGGTCGATTTGTTTTCGACATGTGCATCTTGTGTCCGCTGTGCGAAGAAAAACATCTCCCGGGGCATGGAGTTTGCATGGTGCAAAATTTGCATGTTCGAGCCCAAACTTTCGTAGCCCGGGCCGTCTTGACGCCCCGGCATGCGCGAAGCCTTTTCGGAGCTTTCTGCAACGAAATCTGATGATGATGATGGTGATGATTTGTGTGATTAGACAAGCAGCCAGGATCAACAACATTGTTAACTGTGCAACAAACTACTCTAAGTTGAAAACCCACCAGGGCTTTTGGTTCCCCACAACCATGTGGGCTTGTGAATGTGGCGCATCGGTTTGATGAACATTTTTTTTGGCTTTGAGAAACTTCAACATGTTTGCTACTAACATATGGGACTGGCTTCTCGCCATTCCCGGTCGGGCAACTCAGCAGTTGTGTCGCAGGTGTCATTGCATGAAGATGTGTTCAACTCCACCTGCGGCGCAGGTCCCGAGCCTGATGAGTGCCTTTGAAGAGTTGGGAATTTGCCCTGAAATTATCCAAGCAGTCGAGGAGGTGCAGCATATTGCGACATCAGACATGAAACACATCTGCCGTCTGCAAGCTGCAATCGTCGTGGCGACATGATGTTCAGGACGACTGGCTGCTTCCCACTCCTGTGCAGCAAGAGGTGGGTGTTGAGTTGCAAAGCACGCTCAAGCACATGTGTTGCAATTCTGAAATTCGGCATGCCTCAGTGGGTCTTTCAGGCCATTCCTCTTATTCTTGGTGGAGGCCGCTGCTGTAAGTTTGGTTGGGACTGGGGAATATCGTGCTTGACTGGGTCTTAGGGATTGGGGTCCAGAAGCACAGTGGCATGTCGTTGCATGAGAAGGTGATGTATTGGTGGCGGCTGAAACTGGAAGCGGAAAGACCGGTGCTTTCGGTCTTGACCCGAGAAGTGAACTTGATGTTGGATCAACATAAGGAGTTATTGGACACTTTCAAAAATTAGCGTGTGCCCTTATTTTGCAGAGAAGGTGTATTGTGCTGCAAAGTGTCAGTGCTGACGAAAGCGGACTGACAGGCTTCTGATGGAAGGTCGTAGATGCTCGTTGCCGGACCTGGGCTGAGGTTTGCCTTGCCTCCAGATCGTCCACGAGACCTTGCGCGGGAAATGCAGCACCAGGTTGGCATGTCATTAATCACTGTTTCTCTTCTACTTCTCCTTCTTCTTCTTATCCTTTGTATTCTTATGCTTATTCTCATGTTCATTCTTATTCTTATTCTTATTCTTATTCTTATTCTTATTGTTCTTCTTCTTATTAATCTCATTGTTGTTATTATGTTTGCCTGACCTCGACGTGCCCCCCTTTTTTGCAGGAAGACGGCGGCCTCGAATCTGAAGTGCGAGCTGAACTTAAACGACAAGGCAGCTTCGCGAAGCACCGGCGCTCGCCAGAGCTACGGTTGATGGACAAAATCCTGCATTACCCCATAATAAGGAATATACCATAATTCCCATAGTTTAGGGTCCTTAGGGTAATGCAGGATTTTGTCCATCAGCAGTAGCACGGGGCTTCCGTGGTTTGGGGCTTACTGGTTTTTCGGCATAGTTCTTGCAGACCTGGCGGCATGTGCCCTGGAGGACATGTTCGTGCTCGTGACAGAAGATGGTTTGGAGTGCAAGAGTGAAGATGACAAGCGATGGAACGGGACGCTTCCTCAGAGCACCGAAAAAAACGTGTGAAAGTTCGAAAGATACAGAGCTTCAGTGTTTGTTTCAAGAGCCCCTGCCCGAGGATTCGTGCGACCATCGAGGTGATGCAAGGCTGCTACATGTTCGAGGTGGAGGCCTGCTCTTAGTTTTGCAGCCTCTTCTGAAGTGCCCTTTCTCTTGACCATTTTTGTGCCTCGTAAGGTCGTGGAAGGCTTGGTGAGAGTAGGCGGGCTGCTGCCAGTGGTCCCGAATAGATGGAGAGGAAGGCGCTTCAAAATGCAGGATGAGGCCATAGAATGGCCAATATTGTGTGGCCTTGCGTTTTCCCCACGCAACAGTAAAAGCTAGGTTTCTGAAAGAAGAGGAACGACCCTAAACCCTAAACCCCTCCTTGCCTTGGCCAGGTTGGAGTGCCGGATTTGCCAAGTTGGAACTTGGAATCGATGACAAGAGCCCTGGGCCAAGACTTGGCTTTGAGAGTTGGTTCCCCTGCTCCCGAAGGAAAAGGGCAGGTGAGTCAGGTTAGGATCCAGAGAACCCAATACCCCTTAATTAAGGAATACCTTAAATCATATTATTAAGGCCTCTATAATTTAAGGTATATTCCTTAATTCCCTTATAAAAACCCTTATATATAGATCCCTTTAAGGAGCCCTTTAAAGGAACCCTATAATTTAAGGTCTATCCCATAGTTCCCCTATAGAACCCTTATATTTATATATATATATATATAGATCCCTTTAAGGAGCCTTTTAAAGGAAACCTATAATTTAAGGTGTATCCCATAATTCCCTTATAAAAACCCTTATATATAGATCCATCCCTTTAAGGAGCCCTTTAAAGGAGCCCTATAATCTAAGGTCTATATTCCTTAATTAAGGGGCCCCTTGGGTTCTCTGGGATGGTGAGATGAGGTTTTGGCTTCGGCTCCACCGGCAAGAAGAGCTGGAATCGTAAGTTCGAGGATCGGCACAAGGGTCCTTTTAAGGGTTTAGGGTTTAGGGTTTATGGGTTTAAGGGCTTAGGGTTTAGGGTTTAGGGTTTAGGGTGTAAGGGTTTAGGGTTTAGGGTTTAGGGTGTAAGGGGTTTAGGGTTAGGGTTTAGGGTGTAAGGGTTTAGGGTTTAGGGTGTAAGGGTTTAGGGTTTAGGGTTTAGGGTGTAAGGGTTTAGGGTTTAAGGGTTTAGGGTGTAAGGGTTTAGGGTTTAGGGTTTAGGGTGTAAGGGGTTTAGGGATTTAGGGTTTAGGGTTTAGGGTTTAGGGTGTAAGGGTTTAGGGTTCAAGGGTTCAGGGTGTAAGGGTTTAGGGTTTAGGGTTCAGGGTGTAAGGGGTTTAGGGTTTAGGGGTTTAGGGTTTAGGGGTTTAGGGTTTCGGGTTTAGGGTGTAAGGGTTTAGGGTTTAGGGTTTAGGGTTTGCAAGACCAGCTCTCCACCTTCTGCGGCCTTGACCCTGCAGTGCAGAGCATGTGCCCTTGCAAGGACTATGGTGAAGCTTTCGAGGAAGGCGACATCATCGGCCTGCTGCTCACAAACCGGGAAACTACAAGGTTCTCAACAACGGACGTGCAGAAAACATCGGCAGGGGTGGGTTTTCAGCACATCGGGCAACGCATGCCTATTTTAGGGGGGAGGCTATTTGACTACTTGCTCGCATTGAAATGGGTGATGGACGTGCAGAAAACATCGGCAGGGGTGGGTTTTCAGCACATCGGGCAACGCACATCGGGCAACGCATATTTTAGGGGGAGGCTATTTGACTGCTTGCTCGCATTGAAATGGGTGATGGACGTGCAGAAAACATCGGCAGGGGTGGGTTTTCAGCACATCGGGCAAGGCATGCCTATTTTAGGGGGGAGGCTATTTGACTACTTGCTCGCATTGAAATGGGTGATGGACGTGCAGAAAACATCGGCAAGGGTGGGTTTTCAGCACATCGGGCAAGGCATGCCTATTTTAGGGGGGAGGCTATTTGACTACTTGCTCGCATTGAAATGGGTGATGGACGTGCAGAAAACATCGGCAGGGGTGGGTTTTCAGCACATCGGGCAACCCATGCCTATTTTAGGGGGGAGGCTATTTGACTGCTTGCTCGCGTTGAAATGGGTGATGGACGTGCAGAAAACATCGGCAGGGGTGGGTTTTCAGCACATCGGGCAACGCATGCTTATTTTAGGGGGGAGGCTATTTGACTGCTTGCTCGCGTTGAAATGGGTGATGGACGTGCAGAAAACATCGGCAGGGGTGGGTTTTCAGCACATCGGGCAACGCATGCCTATTTTAGGGGGGAGGCTATTTGACTACTTGCTCGCATTGAAATGGGTGATGGACGTGCAGAAAACATCGGCAGGGGTGGGTTTTCAGCACATCGGGCAACGCATGCCTATTTTAGGGGGGAGGCTATTTGACTGCTTGCTCGCATTGAAATGGGTGATGGACGTGCAGAAAACATCGGCAGGGGTGGGTTTTCAGCACATCGGGCAAGGCATGCCTATTTTAGGGGGGAGGCTATTTGACTACTTGCTCGCATTGAAATGGGTGATGGACGTGCAGAAAACATCGGCAGGGGTGGGTTTTCAGCACATCGGGCAAGGCATGCCTATTTTAGGGGGGAGGCTATTTGACTACTTGCTCGCATTGAAATGGGTGATGGACGTGCAGAAAACATCGGCAGGCTATTTGACTACTTGCTCGCGTTGAAATGGGCCGGTGATGGACGTGCAGAAAACATCGGCAGGGGTGGGTTTTCAGCACATCGGGCAATTTTTTCCGACAGTATATAGATGGCATGCTCGCATCAAGGGCCATACTAAGGAACGTGTCCTAGCCGTAGACTGCAAGTCCCCCCTTTTCGGCCCTTTCATTGTGGTGTCCAAGGCAGAGAGCCAACATCGAAGGCGACAGTGGCGCAGAGGGAAAAAAGGTTGCAGCCAGCAATTCAAAGGGCTTCCTGGTCAGCGCCAAAGTCGGACCCCCAAATCATGGGATCTCGCAAGCAGTCCTCATAGACCCGCTGCACAGCGCCAGTGTTCCCCTACCGCCCTTTCAGAAGGTGGTCCAGCAGTGAGGTCCACCCAGCCCTGCAGCCTTCCGTTGAGGGAAATCCATTCGCCCGAACGGAAGATAGGATTTAGGTTAGGGAGTGTACTTGACAGTAATCCCTTCCTGTAACAGTGAATCCGCACCACTCACTCATAGTCCACATGGCCTCATATTCCATATTCATTCCTTCAAGACAACATTCAAAATCAAAGGGGTTGTGAAACCTATCGTTCTTGGCTACTTTATTGAATGTGAGATTTCTGCAATCTTGCACGCTCAGACAGATTGCATCATTTCTCGGCAGGGAATTTGACTGGTTGATGGTACGAGGAAGGCGGACATCTTTCACATCACTAGTCCAGAACCTTAACTGCCTTGTTACACTGCAGCTGGTATTGAATAGAGATTGAGATTTTCATTAGCCATGCGCCAGAAGCATTATCCCTGTATCCCGTTTTGACACAATACACAACGCACTTGGTTGCACCTGTGCAGTATCCACGCGGACTTGCGGCATGGATCCGCGGCCTTTCACCATGACGTCATCGTTAGCCTTGGCATGGCTTGGCTTGACAGTTGCGACTGCCACCTGGTGTTACCCAAGAAAGGGTGGGTGTCAAGGACAGTTGCGCAATATCGTTGAAGAAGAGTTTGAACGTCCTTGGCTTGATGGGGTCAGAGAGCCTTATGCGTACGTCCATTCTCAGCTGACAGATTGGGATGGGGATGGCGATCTTGACGTCATCGCTTCATATCGCCCAAGGAACGAGCAGACGAACTCCTGGTTTTTTGTGGTCTTCGAACGGTTGTCCGATGGCCAGTATGAGAGGCGTGAGATGCCGGTTGCGGCCGGTGATGCCTGGATGCCTCCCGATGAATCCGATTACATGCTCACATTTGCCGCTGGAGACTGGGATGCAGACGGCGATACGGATCTACTTGTCTGCTCATACTTGGGTGGAGGCCTTCATCTTGTGCTGCTTGAACACGGCCAGGCAACGTTGCTGCCAAGGATGCTTCTGTCAAACCTCACTTCTTCACGGAAAAAGTTTAGCTGCGAGTATCTGCAGGCCGTGGATTTCGATGCAGACGGTGACTTAGACCTCATTCTGAACGGCATCAGGTATTTCGAAAGGATCTCAAGTTCAGATGACGAGCTCGTAGAGCGTTTGGATGAGGACAACCCACTACTTTCCGGTGCAGGTCTGAGTAGCGAATCCGTTGAATCCGGCTTAGAGGTTGTCTGGGTTGGGGATGTCGATGGAGATGGAGATTTGGACCTCCTAGTTCGCCTGCTGACAGAAAAGTACACGTATGCAGCCAAATATCGCCTTGCTTATTTTCAGCGAGTTGCAGACGGCAGCTTTGTTCAACCCAGACTAAATCCACTCGCCGGCATAAAGATGATATGTGCCGAGGAGGGCTGCGACAAACTCCAGATAGAAGACTGGGACACAGATGGCCTTCCGGATGTAATCGTTCTTACGTACGTGCGTACGACTTTACGGGTGTACCGGCAGTCGATGCAGGAATCCTTGGTCGTAAACCAACTATTCAATCCCTTTTCCAAAGTGTTGCTGGATGGCGCCGAACCACACCTGTTTGACTGGAAGCGCGATGGTCAGGCACTGGGCTGCTGCTGAGGAACTTGTTTTTAGTTATCACAATACGGATGAATCGTAAAAAAGTGTGGCTCGTTCGTAATGTTAGTTTTACGTCAGCTCAGTTTCTTATAGTCAACACAGCGATGGTCAGGTAGACATGCTTCTCGCAGCGAACGATTGTAATGGGATGTCTTCCAACTGCAAGCAATCTGCCCAAAGATCTTTGCAGATGTATGAGATGCACGACGGTCGCGCAAGACTTGTAAAGGGAGTGTTTGAAAACGTGACTGCCACTCAGCTGGGCCCCTACAGGGTTTTGCTGACTGACTGGGACATGGATGGCGATGAAGACATACTCATAGCAGCTGCAGATGGAAGGTTGCATTATCACGAGATGGTGGAAGGGTCATGGTATGCAGAGAAAGCCATACACCCATTTTCTCACATCAACGTTAACAAAAGCAAGGAACCAATTCTTCTGCTGGATTGGGATAATTCTGCGTTTCAACGATATGCTGATGTAGGAGTCATCTCTCAACCTCTTGCCGTAGACTGGGACAACGATGGCGACATGGATCTTGTGCTTGGTCCGAGCGGGCGATTTTTCGAGCAGAGAGACCCTGGTGTCTTGGTGGAATGGCCTTCGGAGACAAGCCCTTTCAGCAACTTGTCTGCTGCAGATCGCATGTGGAGGTGGGCACTTCCGGAGCCTCAAGACGAGGCCGACAGAGTGTGGAGGTTCATCGATTGCGACAACGATGCCCAGTTGTGTTTAGGTTAGTTAGTTCTCTGGACATTTTATACGTAGGTACTCTCGCTGCAGCTTTGTTACAGTCTTTCCCTCATGTGTGACTCTTCCTGAGTTAGCTTAGGACGGAGATGCTGACTTGGTGAGGCTTAAGGAAGACTGGACTCCCAAGCTGGAGGTTTGTGAGCACCGAAGTGATCAGACGCTTCTTTGCAACGACACGTTGCCATGTGCAGGGTTCAGTTTGGTTGCAGAAGAGATTGCACAAATGTATTCCCTGGACCTATGGGACATGGATGGTTCAGGTGACGTTGACATACTCGCATCTTACATGCAGTCCGACAATCCTGTGCGCTGGACACGGGCATTTTGCTACCCCAATGATGTTTGTAATGGCAGGGGCCAGTGCCTCTCGGGGCCTGAGTGTGAGTGCATTCGCGGGCATGAGCTTCATGATTGCTCTGGCTGTGAGCCAGGTTATTATACCCGATGGGAGGGTGCGGGGACCCTGCACAGCTGTGAAAGATGCCCGCTGTCAGATGGCAAGATGTGCAAGGGTCGAGGCAGCTGCTTGGATGATGCCGCGGCCAAAAAAGTCGCCGAGTCCAGTACGCTTTCCATTCTTAGGCGTGGCAACGGAAGCTGCGCTTGCGCCGAAGAGCACTTCTATGGCACGGACAGCAGTGGCCGATCGACATGCACTGCTGGCTGGTGCCCAGACGGATCGGAAGAGTATGAAGGTAGATGCCGGCCATGCCTACCTGGTTTCGCCTCATCTGGTGGGACCTCTTGCGCAAAGTGCCCAGTGGGCAGGTTCTCAGGCGGAGCCAGCAGCCAGTGCTCTGAGTGCCCGGAGATTCGGCTGCATTATGTGACAATTACTGCATTGTTAGAGATTTCTTGCCTGCAACTCATCAGGAGCAGGTGCTTCTTCCAACTTGCTGAGTTCTGATGAACTAAGGCAGGAGAGGTCTCATCGGAGCCTGGCGCTTCAGCGTGTGCGACTTGCTCAGCTGGCACGGTTGCAACTTACGGCCAGTTTTGCTCCAGCTGCCCGGTTGGGTTGATCTCACAACGAGGAAGCACGCAGTGCGAGACGTGTGAGGCAAGGCAGTATAATCCTTCCGGCCCAAATGCTAGTGATGGCGATCATCCCAATATTCACCCTCAGCCCCTCCCATTTTTGCTCATGGCCTCTTGCATTTTCCACATACACCCTGCGGATCAGTTACATACCCTCTAACCCTAAGCTCCAAATGTCCCAAAGAAGGTACAGCTTTTTGACTTCAGTGCCCCCACGTGGTAGTTCTTATAGACTCAGAACCCTAAACCGAACACTGAAACTGAGACCCTAAACCGCAAACCCAAAATTGTAGTTTCCATTCTCTTTCCCGGTATCCCAACATTTCCCCAACATATACCAAATGGTGAAGGGATCCTGGTACCTGTCCGCTCAAGGCTTGGGTTTGTATTGGGATAGTGTTGGGATAACGGAAAGAACATGGAAACTACTATAATAGGGAATATATCAGGGATATAATAGGGTATGTTAGGGATTATAGGGTATGTATTGGGTTAGCTGTATCCATGTTCTTGATGTCAAGATATGCATTGGGACGCTATTCCGTTCAATGCATGGAAAGTCCCACGTTGACAACAGAAACCCTGCATGACTGTTTCATACCGAGCTCAAGCAGAAGTATCAACAGTACTTTTCCTGGGGTTCCCTAAGCCCTTAACCCTTCTGAAGCAGGCAGGTACTCATGCTGCGGACCCAGGCAGCAGTGTTTGCCTTCAGTGCCCAGCAGGCGGCTTCAGGGTTCTATTGGGAAAATGTTGGGATTCTATTGGGATACGGGAAAAGACCCTTATAATGGGGTATGCTAGAGATTATAGGGTATATGATGGGGAGATATTGGGATAACGGAAAAGAAAATGGAAACTACTATTCGGGGTTCCGGGTTTAGGATTTTCGTGTTAAGGTATAGGGTGAAGAGTTCAGGGCACTTTTGTTGTTTTCTGCTCAGGCAGGAGGTGGGAGAGTTTTCAAGGCTTCCTGCAAGATCTACTAGTTTCTACCAGTTTAGGGTTAGGATTACAATCAACATTTTTGTGCCGCGGCGTAGAACTTTGAATGCTGAGGGGCTCATCTCAATCCCATCAGAATGCTCCTCCTTGGGATGGGATAAATTAAAACCTACACGCCCACATGAGGAATAGTCTAAACTCCTCAAAGGGAGCTTATATAGCGATTCTATAGGGGACTACGATACGGGATGCTAGGAGTTTAGACTGTGGCTCACATTGCTGGCAAATTCGAAGCCAATTTAGTACCAACAAAAGAGGACAACTGTCCTGTAGTTGAAACTGATACCAACACAGATTGAATTCTGTTGAAGATTCATGGTGGCTTACAAAGTTTCTACAATTTGAAAGTAGCTGAGCGATCAGAGTAGGGAGACTCTACAAGCCTAAACCCTAAAACCTAAACCAGGTAGATTTGCAGTCTCTGGCGCCGCACAATGTCGCGAATGCCCATCCGGCGCTTTCTCCAACGTGCAACCTACCTGTGTACATGGGTCGTTCCAAAACATTCGGGTACTTGGGGGAAAGAACGTTTTCTAGCACAGGCGAGGTAAGAGGTACCCCTGATTTTGGGAAGCTACCAAATGGGATGATAGCATGGTACAGCTTAATTGCATGGGTGAAACTAGATTAGGGTGTAGGGTTTAGGGTTTAGAGTTTAGAGAGTTGAGAGTTTGGGAATTTCACACGGCTGGTTCCATCAACGCTAGCCTCTTTGGACCCCTATAAACGCCTGACTTTCAGAGGGTTCCATGGAGTTTAGCAATGTCATAAAGAGAGTCTGCAGAATTTGCGGCTTGCTTCTTGGACTTGCAGTCTTTCCAGAGGGAACTTGCAACACGCGCTTTGATGTTTATTGGCGCTGGACGGGGGCAATGCTGTAAACCAGCTGTGGTACTTAAAAATGGTGGAGGTCAGGCTTAACATAGGGTTGTCTTAGGTACATGTAGAGTTGTAGTGTGTCACTGGGCCAGCATTTGTTGTTCGTGTTTACTTGTTTGTTGGTCATGGTTTCAGCGGTTTTTTATTCTTTTGCTCCATGGCCTATTATAGTTGTTGCTGCCGGTCGTCGATTCTAATACAGGGCTACAGCACCCACGTTCTGCTCACCGCGTACCTTCTCCCCCAAGAAAAGGTCAAGTCAGAGCTGCACATCTTGTGGTGCCGGGCGTTTCGCTCAACTACCTGGAAGTCAGTTCTGCAGCGTTTGCACATCTGGAACCTGCGTTGTGTTCTTTCAGATACATTTTTTTTTGTTTGCTTCGCTGCTTTCTCCTCCCTTTTCTGCTTACAAGACAGGGCCAAGTTCTTTTCCTGGGGTTCTTGTGGTTCCAAGATAGCCAAGGAAAATTTGCAGCAGAAGGAAGCCAGCGATGTCAGAATTGCCCAGCAGGGGAGGTGTCTAGTTCTGATTAATTCGGAGTTTTGTGGGTTAAGGGCCAGAAGGCGGATATGCTCAAGAAGGGCCCAGAGGGCCGAAACAGGACCATATCACGCCCTTAACTGTCCGTTACCTGTTTCGGGAAGGTCTCTGGCTTCGAAAGCGATTCATGCGAAGCCTGTGATGGGCTGTTTTTCCATATGACGACGGATGCAGGGCAGCACCACTGCCAGCTGGATCTCATGGACATAATGTTCGTGGTTGTGTCGTGCTTGAGTCTGGGTCAAGCTGTGGGATCTTTTCTACCTATCCTCCTTTGTTGCTTGTCAGTCGAAACACGAAGAACGTTTTCAGAGGGTTGAAGGCACAACTCAGGAGTTTCGTGGGCTTCTTCATCTCAATCTTGGCAGGCTGTCATGGCCGCATTCGCATTGCAGATTTGTCATCTCAGGGCAGCGACTTCGTATTGACAACATCCGGCCTGCATCGCATCCTGCCCTGGAAGTGGGCATCTCCTTGGGTCAGTTTGGCTGGCACAGGTGAGCAGCGTTCTGAAAGGCTTATGCAAGGGTCAGTAATTACAGGCACAGGAAATGGAACTGCCATGGAATAGAACAGCTCCCTATCAAGCGTCCCAGATTGTAGCACCTTAGAAATTAGAAGCATCCTGTGGCAGCAGGATCGTTAGAGACCTTTTGGAAGACAGGTGTGCCCATGGTGGATGCCAAGCGATCCACGCCTTCATTCCGAGTCCAGGCAATGGGCAACGAGCAGCTGCTGCTCATGCCCTCTAGCGCAATCAAGTGTCCGTTGGACACGTCCATGGGATACGTTCGTATCAGTTTTCCCCGAGCCTTCGTGAGTCTTGGCTTCTTCCGTTGCCCACTGCTATTGTGGTCCTTCATATTCTTCCTTGCTGGCGGTGCTTGTGTTTCTCGGCTGACACTGCCAATGGCTATCGTTGTCAGTCTATTGAGTGCGTTCTTGGGTTGTGTTTGCTATGGCATCTCATGGATGCGCGGCCAGCGCACACCCATGGTGAAGAGACATCGTCAATTTCATCACGCATGGTCTACCTCGAACCCAAAGCCCAAGCGGTGTGAGCGGGGAGCTCCTCGAGCAATCACGGCAGGGAAGCTCCGAGACTTCTTAGACTTTTTCCGGGAATTCATTCGGGAGCGGTCCATGTACTATGTCTGCTCGAACATCGTGATGCCCTTGACGAAGCCAGTTAAGCTCTCCTTCGCGGAGCTCATCGGCCCCAATGAGCTCAACTGGTTTGTTTCTCATTATTGGGGTACACCAGTCCAGCATTTCGTGGCGGCAGTGTGCAAGCACGGGTTTGCCCATGCAGGTGACGCTTGGCGAGACTCGGCCTATTGGATATGCACTTTCAGCAACAATCAGTGGGAGGTACCCTTGGAGCTTGGAAATGGTCGGTGGCAGGAGTCCTCCTTCTATTTGGCGTTGAGAAGCCCCAATTGCCTGGGTACTGCTATGATACTCGACGAAGAGGCCTTACCTTTGCAGCGCATCTGGTGCCTTTTTGAGGTCTATCAGACAATCCTCCTGTCAGCGCAGAATGCCGGGTTTGCAGGGCTCTTGCTCTGCACTTCTACAGGGGTCCTCCAGCAAGGTGGGGATTTCTGAAACACATGGGTCTGTATTCTGGAGATCTTCACTATAAGGCGTCCGTTGCATTCGGAGTATGTAGGGGGCTCCCCCCATTCTGTGTGCTTAGAGGGATGGCAATTGTCTAGCAATCATCTTGCACCTTCATTTTGAGAAAAACACCAGGCCAAGCGGGCACTGATATTGCCATGGCTGTTGCCAAGAGGTTAGCCGCGCTGGATCTCCGCAACGCGCAAGCATCGGATGAAGGAGACAGACTCAAAACAGGATTTCTTTGGGAGTTGGGGCCTTTGGCCTTCGGGCAAGCACTGGAAGACTGTGACAGACTTGGTTTCGGAGCCAAAGTTTACAGTTCCCCTAGGATTATGGCTTAGAGCTCCAGGTTTAGGGCAAGCATGGATTGAAGGAGACAGACTCATGATTCACGGCCTCATCGAAGCAATGCCCGGGGGCTTTGACGCAATGAACCAATTCGTCCGGGAGTCCATCCGCAATGCCCTGGTAACCATGCATCAGCAGTTTCTAGGAACATGTGGGAACCATTCTATGTTTCTTCAGGCCACTTTTCCACTATAATATTCAGTGATATGCTATAATATGCAATAATATACTGTAATACATTATTTTATACTGTAATGTACTAGATTAATACTATGTTATGCTTTGTTCTGAATATTTTGGGAGTGTTTCAAGCCTATCTCCGGAAGCTCCTTCGGAGGGAGCCTTATATGCGGTTTTGAGACATCCTCATCTGGGGGTTTCCCAAAATTGGGGGGTACCTTCTTGGGGGTCCTTATAAAAAGGAATATATTATTGATATTTAAAGAAACTACCATCTTGTCCCCAATGCTTCAGCCCCTAAACCCTAAACCCTGAGTCCAGGTTTGAGCACGACTTCAGCAGCTTGGTGCAGGAGCTGACTGCGAGCCACAGTGCTTCAGCCAGTTCGAGCGTTTCTGTGGAAGTGACGGCGTTGCCGACCCTGCTCCTCGGTGAACTGTAGTCTAGGTCTAGACTCCTTAAGGCGGGGGTTACACAGGGATATCAGGGGATTATGTAGGGGTCCATTGTAGGGCTTATTCTTATTCAGGGGATGCTAGGAGTTCAGACCATAGCTCAGGTGAACTTCTTAGGTAGGATGAGACAGATTCCCGGCTGGTAGGAACTGACTCTTCATCCTTCTGAAGTCTTGTTTGTTCCCTTAAATGGCTTGTATGCAGCAGATCTACAAATCCCCAGGCCCCCTTAATCCATAAAACCACGGGCAAATTTATTCTGAGCGGTCTGTATAGTTGGTGTCGTTCTACTTTGACACAGAGCCAGATTGAACATGACTTTCGACTGTTGCTCAGTATGGAGCAGAACCTCGAATAGCTTGGCGTGTTTGGGCAGTCCTCGACAAGGGGACCCCCCGACTCCTGTTCGAGTTCACATGGCCCTGAAAGGGCTCCCAAGTACCGGCCAGTTCCCCATGTTACCCCTCATGAGCTACAAGGGTCCTCAGTAACGGTCTCC